TTTTTTTTTTTTTTTTTTTTTTTTTTTTTTTTTTTTTTTTTTTTTTTTTTTTTTTTGAGCTGAACAAAATGGTTTATGTAATTGCATACTTCTCATAATTATTGAGTAATTATATACTTCTTATAATTACTGAGTAATCATTGTTCTATAACTAGAACTTAATGTTACAACTAATTGTATAATTACCACGTATTAATGTTATCTGGGAAACTAAGAATAAAGTGCTACTTAATATATTTTCCCCCGCTCTGCCATTTTCAAAGCTGGCAACAGTGCTTGTTTTACAGCTAGAAACTCAACGAAATGCACCCAGCCTGTGTGGCTCAGTTGGTTGAGTGTCAACCTGGGCGCCGAGAGGTCGCCGGTTCGATTCCCAGGCAGGGCGCGTGCCCCAGTTACAGGCACAGTCCCCAGTAGGGGGCGTGCATGAGTCAGCAAATTGATGTTCTCTCCTTCGCTCTGTAAAAAATCAATAAAAACATATTTCTAAAAAGCCCAACAAAATTCAAGGGGGAGAAAACTCACCAGTACGCTAAGCATAGGTATGAACTCACTGATGTTATGTTGGCACCTAGCTCGAAATGTGTAAAATTGTATTCTCTTGGCTTAACTTTAGGATTTTCATTATTGTTTTGCAATTTTCAATCCTTTGAAAGATGTGCACAGTTACACTGCTTCGGAGGCAAGTGAGCTCCTGCCCCCGTCCTGCAGGAGAAGGCTGACTTTTTGAAATTTTGCAGCTGGGCCTGTGACAAGAGCAGTGGTCTTGGCTGTAAGGGAGCAGGGTTCCGCCGAGCCGGACATTGTGGGAACCTAAGGGGGTCTTCGGATGTGGTCAATGTAATTTTCTTAGACAGTGGTTAGAAGTGATTCACTCTCCACCTTAACCAGGTTTCTCGAACGCGGGAACTGTCTTGTGCATTTTGCAAATATTGTTCTAAGCACCTAGCAAAGTCTCCTCCCTGCCTGCAGCTGGAGCTCAGTAATCTTTGGCCAGAGAAAGTCGACTAGTTGTAAAGAACCTATGAGGGCTGATAAATACGGCACAACTTGGAAGTGTCTTGTCGTGAAACTATCCAAGGCTCTGGACAGGTTTTGGGACGTCTTGCTAATGTATGTGATGCATATGTAGCTGTGAATTGTCGATTTCCATTTTAGGACCTTAAAACCACTGCTGAGCTGTGAATATGTCTTTACCCTGTTTCACTAAAAATGAACAGGAAATATTATTTCCGTGTTTTAGCTCATAAGCACCATTTATTCCCTTTGGGGAAGATTAAAGGTAAATATAATGTACGATTTGGCAAAGAAAGGCTATTTTTAGTAAATATTACTGTTCTTAATGGTTTGTGTGTGTGTGTTTTAAGAGTAATTATAACTAAATTTTACTAAAATTAAGCAATATTTTGAAAAATTTGCCTCGTAAACTTTTCAGGAAAGCGTCTAACATAGAAAGTGAAATAAATGTCACAATACGCTTTTTGGACTGGGCTAATTTTAAGTCTAATTTCTCACTGTTTGTGACCTTGAACGTAACCCAGCTACATGGAAGAGAGAAAACATGTTGTCAGGCAACAGGATGCTGTTGTGTCTTTGACACGCGGAGATTTGGAAATGGGTTTGCAGGAGCTTTGGAAGGGTGGAGGTGGTGGGACCTGGGGAGGGTCCGTGGAAAGTGATTCTTTCACACAGCCAGGCAGCCTCTGCATTTTCCCAGAGAGCTAAGACATCGATCTTCAAATCAAGGTGGACACCTATGACTTCCCAGCCCCAGTGGCTTTTCAGGATATTCTGACTAGTTCTGACTTAATCGGGCATTAGATAAAAAGCAGTCAATTCACCTCTCAAGCACACTGAGCAGAAATTACCAACCAATGATAAAGAAAATTTACGACAAATACACTTGACTACACTATTTCTACCCAGAACCATTCTGTTTGGTGGGAAAGAGTGTGATTTCCTCCCAGTCTGCAACTCACAGAAAATTCAAGTATTTGAGAAACCCTGTAAATAATTCACCAAATGATTAATTTATATGTCAGCGCGGTATTTTGACTTATGTGCATGATACCTGTGACGTGGTTTATACTATCTTAGAATGTCAGCCCCGTTATTGTAATCCCTGTGATGAGTGAATTGGAAAACATACTGTTATCCCAGGTAACATTTTGTTACCAGGATAGTGAAATGAAAGAAGGCACGTGTGGTGCCTCCTATGGCCGGGCTGGTGCAGTTATATTTAGTGCTGGGATTCAGGAGCCCGAGAAAAGGTTAGATGATAGCAGGAGGGAATCCTTCAATATGTACTAATTTTAATACATTTCTTTTTTATTCAGCAGGTAATAACTACACTCTTCTGAATGGCACCCATGTCGTGTACCATGGCGAAGAGACCCATGTCTGGGTGCCCGTCGATGGGCTGGTCCCTTTCACTAACTACACTGTACATGTGGATGCTTCCCATCCCCGAGGCAGCCTCACAAGTGACCCCACCACCATTGCAATGCCACCAGGGGGTGAGTCTGTGAGCCCCGCTGGCTCTCGAGGTTTATCTCGGTCTACTGATCACCTCGTTTACTGCTAGAATTCGCTTTCTTTTAGAACTTAGGCCTCGCTCGTACTACTGGTCAGTTTGGTTGTTTTTGTTTTGTTTTATTGAGACCCTGGTATTAATATTATTTTATCGTTTCGTTGAGACTGCTTTCCCCTGACTCCACGTGTGTAGGTGTGTGTAGGTACATACACACACACACACACACACGCACATTTCTCGCTTTCTTCATGTTAAAAAGGTTACAACATGCTTTTTTGGTTGAGACTTCATTTAAGATTCAAAATTTATATTTTTTAATTGGAGCTTTAATTTTCTAACATGAGTGGTTCTTGTCCCTGGTTTTTTGAAGAACGAATCTAGTTGTATATCCAAACCTTTTCCATTCGGCACAAACGCACGGTGTGTAGGTAATAAGGTAGGAAAACTCTACTCACACCCTCGAAAAACACCTTTAGTTTCCACGTCTTAATGATTAGCGTTCAATATTGTCACTTGCATGCGTGTGAAATGTGATACCATCTGGATGTTTTTATTTTAACTGTTTTTATAAAAAAAGGACCTAACTTAGAGTTATTTTGATGCACAGTGGATTCCACTGTTTTAACTATTCCTGGGACTTAATGACTCGCAAGGGAAATCCTTCTTACGCTCACATGTAGAGCCCTTGGATAGGAAGCGTGTCCAGAGGAGTAAGAGTGTGACTTTGAGTTGGGTGTTCAGGATTGCATGTCCTGTGAAAATACCAAAGGAAAGGACCTCAGGCCACCCAGCATCTGTCTTGCCACCCGGCTCTGGGAACCAATGTGTTCTGGACAGAGGGAGAGCGTCACTGTCTTGTTAACAGGACTCTGCGGGGCTGGAGACCCCTCCCGTCGCGGTGAGTGTAAAAGCCAGCCGGGCCTCGCCGCTGCAGGACAGTGGGGTCACCGGGAAGCCGTGCAGAGCCCCTAGGAGCGATGCATCGCCCCCCTGCTGTAGCGTAGAAGCGGCTCACTGTTGCCTCCCTTTTATGACACGATGGACTTGATGGATGGACGTCCCCCCGAGCCCTGGAAAGCACGTTGTTTAAGGAAAATGCAGGAGAGAGATGGGGCTGATCGGCTCAGATAGGCCCGGAGCCCATAATAAAAATGGAATTGGCGTTCGATAGGTGATTAAAAATTGAGACCAAATTAAAAAAAAAAGGAACCTTGGGTATTTATATCTTCCGTTTCCAACTCTAACCCAGCGTGCTGGAAAGGACAGAAAGTTGTGATGACTCAGTAGGACACAAGAATACCCTTTGTTCACAGTTCGGCATTGGAGGGTAGTTAGTGCTGCAATGGAGATTTTTTTACAGTTACGTAGTAACATCTTCTTAACAGGGTATGTGGAATATTTAATGAGTTCTATCTTCATTCTATGGCATCTACACAGATTTCGGTAGTTTGTCATTTACATCCATTCAGGTCGCATTTATAAAACAGGGCTAACTTAATGAATTGTTTATGGTTCTGAGAATTATGGTCTAATATTTATATGCGTGTATGTGTGTATATATGTGTGTGTGGTCCCCAAAAATGTATACACACTTTAACAGCTGACAGCTCAATTTTGAAAATAAAGTATATTTTAATAAACACTGCCTTTATAATTATTCAAAGTGTGTGTATACCTTTTTGGGGGATACTATATATGTACACACACACGCACATAAATACAGAATTCAGTTAAACGTAGCAGGCTCCTCTTGCTGACTCCGTGCACACTGTGTGACTATATCTGTCTGGGTTAGTAGAAGAGCTAATATGAACCCAGGAAGACACTGAAATACTGTCCAGGGTGGCATAGAAGTGAGCTGCTGAGGCTTAGCTCACCTCTGCCCTGTGGGTGCCCTGGGCACAATGCAGCGCCTACCTTACATCTCAGAAATCCAGAATTTCAGAGGTGGCCCTTCACCAAGAAAGGAAGCAAAGTATCTTCAAAGACAGGGATGTGCTCAAGTTTATGGCTGCCATTAGGATGTACTTTTTTTTTTCCCCATTATTAGATTGTTGTTGATTACAATTAGGGAACTTATAGCTCTGGAATTATCTTTTTTATGACCTTGTGGCAGTTTAAAGGTGACACCTCATTGATTAAATAGGTTTTAGTTCATGCTTCCTTCTACTTAATGACCTGAAAACATATTATCCTGATTTACACATAAGATCATGCTGAAAAGCATGTGGCATTCACGGGAATATGTGTGTTTAAGTAGAATTAAATTAGTACTGAGAGTTATTAAAGAAATCTTCCGTGCCTTTGTCCAGCGAACTGTGCTTCATCCCAAAATGAATCATAAATGAACCGAAAGGCACAGAAGCGAGCTAGCTTATGGGCAGAGAAGGCTCTATGTGCTATTTATTTTTCATTACTTTCGGGCTGTTATCATTATTAGCATTTCCTTGATTTCAGTATTAGGTCTCTTATGGTGATGCTGAATTCCTACTGTCTTCCTATGTTGGATTATGTGAGAGTCGTAACGATAATACTCTTAACTACGTTTTCTACTCAGTCCAGTTTAAAACATAATAGTAGAAGGTATCTTCAGGACCTGGACCAACCCTGACCCCTGGTCGGTGTGTGATGGACAGTCAGGGAGTGAATGAATAAATAAATCGGTGGCGATAGCTCAATTTCCAGTTTTAGATTGGAAGATTGTCATCGCTCAGGCCTGCCCAGGCCTCGGCCGCTCCCTGAGCGACCTTGTATTTATCAGGCTGTGGAAAACGTGACCAGCTCTGGGAACCGTTGTCCAGTGGGGGACTGCTGTCGCCATCAGATGTTAGGGGACAGGGCTGTAAGGAGGGCAGGTGGGGGTGTTGCAGGTGAGAAATGCTCTCAGATGGCACCAACTGATCTCTCCATGAGTCCTTCCCGACAGCGGATGAACAGACCTTGGTTTATACAGGAATTTAGAAAAGGGGAGATAAAGGGTCATGGTCCAGAACATTTTACCCTGGTCTGTCACCTCTGTTACAAAACATCTTAATTGATAATAGCTTTCGGTATTTTTCTAATGAGAAATATGCTTAATGTGCTGGTTTTTGTATACCAGTTGTACCTCAAGAAAGCCAGAGTTTTTGTTTTTTTTAAAAGCTGATGTCCCACAATATCTAATTTCAAAGCCTAGTTGATTCCATCAGATCTTGCTGTGTCATTGTTGTTATTGTTTAATAAAACTGATTTTATAGAAAAAAATGAAACTAACTTTGACCTCCTGGAAAAAAAAAGAGAAATGTGATTAAACAATATGATAAACACAAGTTATTTTAAAGATGGAAATTAAGGCAAGTAAAATCAGGAAACTAATCGCTCAGTACCCACGTAGCGGCAAATCTCAAATAGCACACACTTTTTTATTTTAAAAATTCATTTGAAGTGTTATTTGGTCAACTGGAGGAGTCGTTTTCGTTCCAGTTATATGGTATATCCTTCCCTACAGCTGTGTACTCAGGTTTTCGTGTTTCTAAAATAACTGTGTTTTTAGATTGTTTGGAAGAACATTATGTTCCCATTTAGCAGTAAGATCCTCTTAGAAAGGAAGGATACACTTAACCGGAGCTCTCGGGGAGCATTATCGCGCAGGTTCAAGAGTTCCAGGGAAAGAATGAAAAAAATAAAAACGGAATCCAAATGTTAATCCATAAATATGAAACTTTCCCGTGACCTCGACCCCCTCCGGGTCCGGAGTTACTAATGGGGTTAGGATTTCAAGCCTTAATGGGGGCCCGGCGCATTAGTGTTTGGTATGCGCGGAATTCAGCGTTCAGCCTAATAAGTGGTTGACATTGGTGATGTCCCTTAATTTGCTTAAATCTAATTGGCTCTTTTATCAGTCAAACCTGTATGGATTGGCAATTGATCAGAAAGGGTCGGCCATGACTCCGCATGTCGTTAAGCGATGGAGCCCCCCGTTCAGGTCCTGGGTGCATCACAAAAAGCAAACAGAGAACAAATGAGCTCAGAGGGGGAAGGCAAAGGGGCTTCGAAGTTTTGCAGGATCTTCAAGTTCAGAACAAAGGCATTACAGGGCATATAAATTTTAAACACGCTGAGTGTTGCCTCCAGACCTGAACTTCTTTTTTTCTCCAGCCGAACCGAGATCTTGTCTGGAACTGTCTTTGTTACATCAAAGAACCACTCAGAAAGCTGAGCGAGACAGAAGCTGCATAAAAGGGCATAGTTTAAAATGATTAGTGACAAACCCCATACCGATGAGCTGGAAACTGATTTTCTATGAAAGTTTTCTATTTTTTTTTCCCCCCAAAAGGAATCATTTTATCCTATTTCTCTTTTTTTTCTGACCTGCTTTCCAGTAACAGGGAAAGGAACCCGGAGCCTCCTTAGTTGGTGAACTTAATCCAGGTTTCTGTGACACTGAATAATTTGTCATTTATAGCTTCCAATGGATGGCAATTACTGAAATCCACAAACTTGGTAAAAATACTAAGCTTGGGAACGTGTTTCTTTCTCAAAAGTGTGTGATTGGGAAATACAAAATAGGGAAAGGCAAGANAATGGATGGCAATTACTGAAATCCACAAACTTGGTAAAAATACTAAGCTTGGGAACGTGTTTCTTTCTCAAAAGTGTGTGATTGCCTTTCCCTATTTTGCGAGTGCTTAGTTTGGGAATTTGCTTTCGTTTGTCTCTCCCTGACCGCCCTCCCCAGCTAAAACACTGATGGAAAACTCATGAAATCCATTTGGGATTCACACGCAGGCACATTGTAAAAGGGTAGACCCTGGGGTCCTACAAACCTGGTTTTGATGCCATTGCTTTCCCTCACTGACTAATTATGGGAAATCCACTAATAGAGCTGAGCCTCCGTGTGTTCCTCCATAAAATAGGCCTGATGATCATTCCTGCCTGATCCAGGATTAAACAGCACAGTCAGGCTCAGGTGCTCAGCGCAGTCCCTGTCTTGGCCAACATTTG